GGAAGATCGTTTCCACCCTTACAGCCTCATAAAAACGAAACCTCCCTTCTTGCACACCATGGCATGGACGATATCATAGAATGTTTCACACACGCATTGAGCAGGTATGCCTTCCACTGGCCAACCGTATCCTAGAGCAATGGCGTCTGTGAGTTCTTGTTTAATAAGGCTGAAACCCTTTGCTCTTATCAGTAAGATGTTAGCCAGTTTGAGGTACCCACCTCCTGTGCTACCTGTACTTTTCTCTTCGCGATCTCTGACAGTTGTTGCATCAGTTGTTGAAATTTTTCGCTTCTGGTGTGTTGCCGTTCTGACGTAATGAAATGTCGAATGTTGAATAGTTCGTTGGTGTCCGCATCACTTGAGACATTTTGAACTACTATATATAGTAGTTCAGTTTGAGGGCTGCTATGAGCATGACAGAGTTTCGGGTTGGCAATTACCATTCTTCTGTGTCTCGGTGATTATGTACTTGTTCTTGAAATCATTAGTGCCGATTACGGCACCAAGGTGTCGTTGGCCTTCCTTTTTTTTATTCTAACCTCACCCGTTGAAGACTTCTATAACCTGATCGTAGTATTCTGGCTTCACAATGAGGAAGGATCTGATGGCATTTGGGTGGTACCCTATTTGTGGATCACATGTTGTTACCAGGTTCTACCACTTTTTTAAATCCTCAACTTTTCCTGCTCCTCTGAGGTCATCAGCATATGCTACTTGTTTAGCATTGTTTGTCTCTTAATTTAATGCATGTTAGAACACGGATAGGCCTAATACATACATTGCCATGGCGAGTGGGTCCCCCTGTGTCGTTTCTTGGGCTGACTGTATGGCTATATCTCCATCTAGGATTCTAGGGCCTTGAACGTAAGAACATAAGAACATAACAAAATAAGGAATATGCAATAGGCCGGTTGGCCTGTACATGGCAGCTCCTGTCGAGAGTTACTACCACTCTCTATCATCCATGAATCTATATAGCGTTCCAGCACTTACTACAAAGTTGCTAAGCTTGTTCCACTCCTCCACCACCCTATTTGTGAACCAGTTCCTTCCTATCTCCCTCCTAAGCCTAAACTTATCCAACTTGAATCCGTTGCTACGAGTCCTATCCTGCTCGGATATTATAAGAACTTTATCTATATCCCCTTTATTGATTCCTTTCACCCACTTAAATACTTCTATCGTATCTCCCCGCACTCTTCGTCTTTCTATTGAATGCAAGTTTAGTTTCTTTAACCTATCCTGATATGAAAGGTTTCTAAGTCCGGAATCAGTTTCGTCATTCTTCGCTGTTGCACCGACTCCAGTGAATTGATATCCATTCTATAATAAGGGCACCAGAACTGAACTGCATAATCGAGGTGCGGCCTGACTAATGCAAGATATAGTTGCAATATGACCTCCACACTTTTATTACTTACATTTCTAGAGATAAAACCTAATACTCTGTTTGTCTTATTTCGAACATTAACTCACTGTTTTCTAAGCCATAGGTCCGGGCTTACAAGTACCCCTAAGTCTCTTTCACAAGTCGACTTCTCTAGGTTGATGTTGTTAAGGCTGTATACATTTACATATTTGTTCTTCCAATATTAAGTACGCTGCACTTGTGTTGAATATCATTTGCCATTTTTCTGACCACTCCTGTAGTTCATTTAAATCCTCCTGTAGTGCATTTGTATCCTTCCCTGAATTAATCTGCCGCCCTATTTTGGTGTCATCCGCAAACTTGCTTATGCCACTGCTGATCCCAGTATCTACTGTAGATCGTTTATGTAGATTATTAACAAGAGTGGGCCCAGTACTGACCCCTGGGGAACCCCACTGGTTCCACAGCCCCACTCAGATTTAACACCATCTATGCTGACCCTCTGTGTACTATTGGTGAGCCATGATTTTATCCAATTTAAGACTTTTCCCTCGATGCCATGAGCCTTAACTTTTCTCAGAAGTCTCTGATGCCGTACTCTGTCAAACGCTTTGCTAAAGTCTAAGGAAATAACATCGTAATTTTCGTCATTATCTACTACCTCGAAGACTTTCCTAAAAAAACGTCAGCAGATTTGTCAGACAAGATATTCCCTTTGTAAATCCATGTTGAGAGTCGTAGATTAATTTGTATTTCTCTAAATGCGATCGGATGCTATTTGCTAAAATTGATTCAAGAAATTTCCCCACTACAGATGTCAAACTAATCTGCCGGTAATTTGACGCTGATTCTATGTCTCCCTTTTTGAATATGGGTACTACATTTGCCTGTTTCCACAAGTCTGGCACAACTCCCGTGTCTAATGATTTTGTAAATAAATTTACGAGGGGTCCGCTAAACTGTTCCTTACACTCTTTCAAAACTCGGGGAAAATTTCATCCGGCCCTGGGAATTTTGTCTTCTTTAATTTATTTATCTTCTTAAGAACATCCTCTTTTCTGATCGTGATATTCTTTAATTTATCTTCTTCATTTCCCCTAAATATCAGTTCCACCTCTGGCATTTCCTCGTGAATTTCTTCTGTGAAAACTGATAAGTAGCTGTTTAATGCTTTGCTTATTTTCTCACTATCAGGGATCACTTCCCTTCTCTCTGACTTTAAAGGCCCCACTTTGCCCTTGACCTTTGTCCTATATACCTGGAAAAATCCCTTGGGATTCGCTTTGGATTCTCTTCCTATCCTGTTTTCGTAGTCCGTCTTTGCCTTCCTTACATTTTTTTTAACATTCCTAGGTAGTTCATAATACTTATTTCTGAGATGCTCCTCCCCTCCCTTTAATTTCTTATAAATTCCTTTCTTTATTCCTATGTCATGTTTAAGTGTTTTGGTCATCTACCTTGGCTCATTCTTATTTGACCTAATTTTTCTGTATGGTATATTTTGTTC